AAGAGTAGTACTTTGTAAATCTCGTAAACCATGTTAGGATTGCTTTGTATTTTAAGATAATGGGAATATTGGTTGTCATTGTTTTAGTACTATCCCTTAAATTTTGCCTTTGTTTTGGTTATCTGTGTTATGCCAATAAAGGTTTCTGTTCTGTAATCACAATGCTTTTTAGCTCTACTACACAGTGTCTCCGAAGCACCTTACATAACTATGAACCAACATCCAGACAGTAATAAACAGCATAATACACAATAATAATATAGGAAGGGGTACATCAACAGAGGATATATGAAGATGGGTAGCCGTGTTAGTCTGTCTGTGGCAGCAGCAAAGAGCAAAAGTCCAGTAGCACCTTAAAGATCAACAAAATTTGTGGCAGGGTATGTGAGCAGTGACTCACCTGTTCGTGAGTCACTGCTCACTTCTTAGACCATCGATCAGACTGACCCAAGCACTAGTTAACTTTCAACAGATCTCCAGAAACAGACCTTTTGAGGCAAAGGGGATTGTGGCTCAGCTGTAGAGCAGGGGTCCCCAACCTTTCTGAGCCTGTGGGCATCACTGGAAATCTGACACAGGGTAGTGGGTGCAACCACAAAACAGCTGCCACAGGAGACAGGGCCAACCACATAACGACTGCAGTAGGAGGCAAGAGCCTTTCATACAGAGGAAGCCTAAGTGCAAGGGAAAGGGGGAGTGATTTGAAAAATACACTGGGAAAGAAGACTGAGACAGAATAAAAGCGACGCTGAAATAACGTTGCGTTAATCTGTCCAGCTAATCAGATCTCTAGTGGCCAATCAGAAGCCCTGCTGGGCAAGTGCCGCACCTGGCCCCACCCACTTGCTAAAAACACTTGGGGGGGGCACCAAGGAAGGTGTCATCGGGCACCATGTTGGGGCCCCCTGATGCAGAGTATCTGCTTTGCATGCAGAAGGTTCCAGTTTCAATCCCTGACATCTCCAGTCAAAAGGATCAGGTAAGAGGTGATGCGAAAGAGCTCCACCTGAGACGCCGAAAAGCTGCTGCCAGTCTGTCCTTGATAGAGCCAATGACCTGACCCAGTACAAGGTAGGTTTATAAAAGTTCTCTTCAGCCCTGCTACTTGAGATCCTTTTAACTACAGATGCTACAGGTAGAACCGGGGACCTTCTACATGTCAACCATGTGCTCTGCCAGTAAGCTATGGCTCCTCCCCAAAGGTAGAAGAACCCTCTGTTAATCTCACATCTGGCAACGGGGTCTACTCTTAAGATGTGTTTTGAATATCCAAAAGTACCTTATACAGGGTGAACCCACTGGTCCATCTAGTTTGCTGCCGTCTTCCCTGACTGGCGCTGGTTTGGGGGGGTCTCAGCCCTTTCCCAGCCCTGCCTCCTGAGCTCCTTTCTACTTGGAAATGCCAGGAACTGCACTTGGGACTTTCTGCATATAATTTATAGGCTCTGCCATTGAACTACCATTGAGCTTCCACCCCGGCAACTGTCAGTGAGAACTAGCAACAAAGGTTGTTGGACGGCTTCAAAAGGGAATTAGATAAGCATATGGAGCAGAGGTCCATCAGTGGCTATTAGCCACAAAGTATAGATAGGGACTCTGGGGCAAGTGATGCTCTGTCTTCTTGGTGCTTGGGGGGGTCAACAGTGGGAGGGCTTCTAATGTCCTGGCCCCACTGGTGGACCTCCTGATGGCACCTGGTATTTCTGGCCACTGTGTGATACATAGTGTTGGACTGGATGGGCCTTTGGCCTGATCCAACATTGGCGTCTCTTATGTTCTTATGTTGATGACACCCCAAAAAATCATGACAGAATCAGATGGAGTTAACCAACAATTAAAGCGCACACATGCCCTGTTCCCTTGGCCCCACCTCCCCCTGTTCTATTGCAGCTCACCAAGACAGAAGTCTTCAGCTAAGACCAAGTAGTCAGGACATCCAAATGTGGATGCCTTAAGAAGCTAACAGGGCCAATCCTAAACAAAGTTACACCATTCTAAGCACAGTGAGCTTAGAATGGTGTGAATCTGCTTAAGTCTGCACAGTAAGACTTGTTTCTTTCCCAGTTTTTGCGATTCCTAACTAGGGAGTAATCCTGGTTTAGAACCCCATCAACTAGGTAGGAAGCTAACCCTAATTAGCCCCAAATTAAGACATCATGCTTAATTGGAGCTGGTGGAAGACTCCTATCTTCAGTCTGAATGTAAGGTACAAGGAGGAGAGGAAGGGAGAGGGTCAGCAGATTTTTTACTGGTCCCTCTAGCTGTCCCTTTAGTATCAGTTTGATCTGATGTTATTTACCTCCAAGCCATGAAGAGCTGACTGCTCATTTCCACACATTAAGCCTCTATTAAAAGGACAGGGGGAGGGAAGGCGGCATGACACAGATCCATTTCATCAGGTCTCAGAAGCTAAACAAGGTCAGTACTTGGATGGGAGACCACCAAGGAAGACTCTGCAGAGGAAGGCGATGGCAAACCACCTCTGCTTCTCACTAGCCTTGAAAGCCTCATGCTTAGGGTTGCCACAAGTTGGTTGCAGCAGGACGGCACATATATACGTAAAGGGACAGGGTGTTTTTCTGCAAGTCTGCTGCCAACCCAAAGGAGGGGGCATATGAGTCCAACCATGTTTGTGCACAATGCAGAAAAACTTAAGATTGGTTTGGACATCTGAATGCAGGCAAAGAGTTTAAAAACCACAAAGCTCGCCCTGACCCAGATAGCTCAGGCAAACCCAGTCTCGTCAGATCTTGGAAGCTAAGCAGGGCTGACCCTGGCAAGTACTTTGAAGGGAGACTTCCGAGGAATACCAGGACCGGGACGCAGAGGCAGGCAATAGTAAGCCACCTCTCTGAAATGTCCAAGCCCCACTAGGGGTCGCCAGAAGTCAACCATGACTTCCAGACATACACACATACAAAATACTTACCAAAAAATCCCTATAAAAACCAATGTCCTTTTTCCTCCCAAGGCAAGAAAACAAATAGGATTGCAACAACAAAACTATTTGTAGTTCCACTGAGAACATCATGGCCAGCCCCTCTCTGTAGCTTCTTACCTGGTGCCGCTGGGTGCCCGAGGAGGAGATGCAACAATCAGGTGGGATTTCAGAATGGGTGGTGGCTGCTGCTGCTGCTCACTGAAACTCAGGGACCGGCTTCGAACCTGAAACCAAGAAGCTTGGGGGTCAGTTCTGATTTTATTATTGTTTCACCATCATATCTGGTTTACATCCTTAGTGTTGTAAACGGATTCAGAGCTGCTGGGTAGAGGGGCTGGGGAAATCAGATATAAATGAAGTAATAAGAAACAATTCCAGATCATTATCAGGACCCACTTAGAGCCACACCGTGTGGGAAATTACTGTTCTTCAGATCTCCTGACATCTTTTATAAGTTAAAAGCAGTTGCGGGTGGGCAGGATTTGAAATCAGGGCTGCTACACAGAGGAAGTCTACTGTGTTATTCTTCCTGTAGAAATCCCACCCCTAACCTCCAACTAGCACCTTGTAGAGGGCGGGGGGGAAGACATTGGCTTGGATCCAGTGGAACATTTACACGGGTGGAAGAGTTTCCACCTGTGGACCACAACTATATCACTTCTCCCCTCTCGCTGCAGCTCAAAATGCTCCCCAGCCAGCTGTTCCTGGGTTACAGGGGACCCCAAAGGATAGCATGTATGTATGTATGTATTGTATTTTTATCCTGCCGTTCCCTGCACGAAGGGCTCAGGGCAGCTCACAACAATTAAAAACACAGATAAAACATTAAAAGTGCTCTATGATTTTACAGTTTTACAAAATTAAGCACACTAAGATGGTCCATAAACCAAGGAGCATGCTCCAATGCGTCTATAAAGAAAGGGCAGTGGGCAGTCACCCCCAGCAGTCGCTGAACATACCAGGTCAGGGGGTGAAGCAGGAAAAGCCAGAATAATGAGACACCCATCGCCTCAACCAAAAGCCTGGTGGAACATCTTTGTTTTACAGGCCTTGCAAAACTGAAGCAGATCCCGCAGGGTCCCAATCTCACTCAGGGGAGTGTTCCACTAGACCGGAGCCAGAGCCGAATAGGTTGAGGCTAAATGGATGAACTTGGGGCCAGGGACCACCGGGAGCTGTTGTTCTGATGAGTGTAGCGCTCCTTAAGAGACATACCCGGAGAGGCAGTCCTGTAGATATGTAGGTCCCAGACCACTCAGGGCTTTGAACGTTAATACCAAAAACCCTGAAATGGATTAGGTACTCCACTGGAAGCTAAGGCAGAGCACACACCGCTGCATTTTGAACCAGTTGGAGTTTCATAGTCAATAGCTCAAGGGCAGCCCAGTATAGAGCGAATTACAGTCATCCAGCCTGGAGGTAACCATTGAATGGATTGCTGTGGCTAGGTTGCGAGGAGAAAGATAGGGAACCAGTTGTCTGACCAGCTGGAGATGGTAAAATGCTGTTCTGGCAACAGCCATGACCTGAGCTTCCATCGAAAGCAAGTAAGATCATGCCCGGGCCCCTTACTGTTGGAGTCTGCATCAGTGGCTCCCCACTGAGGACTGGGAGCTGGATCCCTAAATCCACCCCCCATGACTCAGGCACAGGACCTCCATCTTTAATGGATTTAATTTCAGGCAGCTCTGCTGCAACCAGCTAGCCATGGCTTCTAATGCTCTGACCACAACCCTCTAGGGCAACATCTGGTCCATCAACAGATATAGCTGCGTGTCATCAGCATACTGGTGACAACCCAACCCAAACCTCCAGACCAACTGAATGAGGGGGAGCATGTAGATGTTAAATAACATAGGGGAGAGGATCGCCCCCTGTGGGAGGCCACACACCAAAGAGTAACGTGGTGAAACCCTCTACCCAATTGCCACCCTCTGCCCCTGTCCATGGAGAAACGAGGTGAGCCACAGCAAAGTGGTCCAGGATAGAGGAGTCATCCAGGAAAGTTTGGAGCTGCTCTGCCACTGCTCTCTCAGCCACTTTACACAGGAATGGGAGGTTCGTCACTGGACGTTAGTTGGCCGGATCCCGAGGATCCAAAGATGGCTTTTCAAGAGCGGTCTCACTACTGCCTCCTTCAAAGCCCCTGGGAAGGTCCCAGAACTCAGGGACAAGTTGATAATATCTCCCGTGGGGCTTGTATTCCACCACCAGCCTTCACCAGCCAAGGGGCCAAGGGGCCTCCAGGTCCTTTACTGTATCAATCATGGCCAGCAAGTCCCGGTGGAGCGACAAGATTTTATCCGCAAAATAGCTCGCAAATGCCTCGCAGCTAATAGCCAATTTACTACTTTTTGATTCCCCTGAGAAAGGGAAGTTAATGATGTGATTATTTTAAACAACTGAGCTGGGCCTGAGCTTGCAGACAAAATGGAAGATGCATAGAATTCTCTCTTAGTGGCTTTCACTGCCATCTCATAGGCTTTCATAAACATCCTATAAGATGCTCTTGCAGCTCCATCACAAGCACACCGCCACACTCGCTCTAGCCATCTAAGTTCCTGTTTCACCTTCCTTAGCTCTGCGGTATACCAGGGGACTAGTTTGGAGCAGGGGCGAAGACGGCATCAGGGGGCTATTTTGTCAGTGGCTTCAGAGAGTCGGCACTGCCGATCCTCTACCAGCTCATCCAATGAATCGCCAGGGGGCATCATATCCCACAGAGCTGCCTAGAAACCAACAGGATCCATTAGTCTCCACAGGCGAGCATAAATCCACTTGCCGCCTAAACAAGGAGGAGTTGGGATACCAAGTCAAGCCTTGAAGGCAAAGTGGTCTGGGCCAGGGCACTGACTCCATCGGCATCCAGATCCACATTAATCCCCATCCCAAAAATCAGATCCAGCTCCAGCATGAAATCAGATCCAGCGTGCGACCTGCTTGATGCATGGGAGTGGGTACAAACTGGAAGACTCCCAGTGCTGTAATGGAAGACACCATTTAGGGTTGCAACAAAGGGGGAATGTGAGAAAGCTGCCAGCAGAACTTCTTCCATCCACAGGTCCAACCATAATATGGGTGATTGTCTTTTCCCCTCAACTAGAGCAAACATCAGTTCAGGGTGGTGGTGGTGATGGGATTCCTATCAAGGAAATAGCATTTGAGCACTGCAGCCCTAAAACCCAGGTCTTCCAATTAACTAGTAGTTCAGTCCTTCGCAACCAAAACACTTAAACTTGCTGCCTTTCACCAGCCCTCTCGATGCATTTCTGAACTGAGTCTCTGCATTATGAACTGGAGCTCTGCATGATCGAGACGCCTGCCCCCATCAACACGAAAAGCCAGACTCACCGGCGAGAGGGTTGGAATGGTGGATGTGGCAGCAGCCCAGCTGATGCTAGTGAATATGTGTGGGGAGACAGGGATCTGAATGGATGGCAAAGCCTGCAAAGAAAACAAAGGCAAGTGGTCCATTAAAGCAACCAAGTGGACTTCCCCATGGCTGCCATCTTGAGAGAAATCCTAACCGGATCTATACAGAATCCTATTCAAGTCTATTCGATAGGGCTTACTCCCAAGAAAGTGTAATTATGATCACTCTGTTTGTATAATAAGTTTACAAGACGTACAGCTCTCTTATTTTTAACACTTTGAGATCTTTATTTTCACCCAGTTGAAGAGGTTTAGGATGGGAGGCTGTGGATACCACCACTTGGGGATCTAGTGGCAGAATACAACGGTTTAAAGGGCTTTCAAACGGTTAGGGACGGAAGGCAGATGTTGGCCATGTGAACGCCGGTAAGTACACCGATTCCAGAACATTAACAGCACTTGACTAGAATATGCCACTTTTCTGATGTATTCCAGTTGGTTTTTGCAGTTATGATTCATCCCTTCCTTTTCATAAGTATTTCTATTAAATGCTAAATAAGGAACCATTCCTTGAAATAAAGAACAGGTGGCAAGCCTGCCTGGCTAGGTGCCAAAAAATGTGTAAAGTTAGTACCAAGCAAAAAAAAAACACACACACAGCAGAAAAGGGTATTATATAGCCACAGTGCCACATTTTGAGACAGTCTCATCCCCCAGATAAGAGGACAGTTGTTTGTAAAATCATGGCATGTTAATTACTAAAGTAACTCTCTTGACATACATGAAGCTGCCTTCTACTGAATCAGACTCTTGATCTACCAAGGCCAGTGTCGTCTGCTCTGACTGGCAGCAGCTCTCAGGCGGAGGCCGTTCACATCACCCAACACTTTTAAATGGAGATGCTGGGGATCGAACCTGGGACATTCTGCGTGCAAAGCAGAGGCTCTGACTCCAAGCCCCAGCCCCACTTTTTGATCTTACTGCCACTGACGCATAAATGCTGCTTGTGAGATTCGTTATAATTCTGAGGAGTTTTGTAGATCACTGGTTTTCAAAAATTCCCAATATCCTATATTCTCATATTAATACAAATAGATGATACAAATAGATGTTAAAAGCCAGCAAATTAATAAACCAGACATAGAGCTACCAGGCAGATCATAAAGACTTCAGCGTTGTAAAAATAAGCCTTAGGATTTTCTAAATAACTACAGAGAGAAGGCCACAGGCAACAGATGTTGCAATGGTAGGACTCACATGGGCTTTGGAGGTATTATTACAAACACAGAAGTCATCATTTGCTCACATCTGAGGTACAAAAACACGATGGAGTCTCAAGAAAATATGCAATACCCCCCCCCTCCAGCCATGGTGGTAAAACAGAGTGCAAAGAATTAAACTATTGACTGTTTGCTGCCTTTTACTAAACCCACTTAAATGGTGGGTGCAGCCCTGTATAAGTCCCTGTGTGCAGTCTGGGTTGAATAAAGGTAAAGGTTCCCTTGCTCGAAAGCCAGTCAAATCTGACTCTAGGGTTGCAGTGCTCATCTCCGTTTCAAAGCCGAAGAGCCAGCGCTGTCCGAAGACGTTTCCGTGGTCATGTGGCCGGCATGACTAAACACCAAGGCGCACGGAACGCTGTTACCTTCCCACCGAAGTGGTACCTATTTATCTACTTGCAATTTCTTGCTTTCGAACTGCTAGGTTGGCAGGAGCTGGAACTAGAGACGGGAGCTCACTCCGTCATGCGGCACACTCGGGTCTCGAAGTGCTGAACGACTGACCTTCCACAACCTGCAGTTCAGCGTCTTAACCACTTGAACCACCGCAGCTCCCTGGGTTGAATATGAGTGAGTAAAATGGAACTGTTCAGGACAGCACATTAATAAAAGGAATAGGATTGTAGCTTATTGTGTGGTTTATCTTGGTTTTACTGCATTGTTTTCTAATTTTATAATCTTGTTTTTTGACATTGTCTAAGGCAAGTATGTCCAACAGGTAGATCGCGATCTACCAGTAGATTGCGGAAGGGTCAGAGGTAGATCACCAGCCCCACTTGGTCTCCTGGTTTGCTGGACAGGTATTTGGGATTCCCTGAGACTGGCCCTCACGATATATTCACCCAACTTCAAAAAGCTGGTGGATGAAATGCAGGCTCAGACGTCTCAATAATGAGCAAGAGCTAAGTTTTAAAGATTGCGCAAGATCAGCCTGGATCAATACTTGACCTACATTTAACACAAAAAACTCTGAATAAAAGTTTTTAAAAGTTACTGAGACAGTTAAAGGCAATAAAAAATAAAAAATAAAAAATGTCCTGAATTATGGGAATGAATAAAGAAGGTACTTTTTATGGCAGAAATGGATAAAATGACAAGAAAATTAAATAACAAAGAAGATGAGGAATTTTTCTCAGATTGGAAGGACTTTAAAGACTATATAGAGAAACACTGGGATGTCAAGAACAATTTGTTTTGCTTTAATAATTATTAAGAATAGATTACAGATATGTTAGAATGAAATGGTTATAGAATAGGTTACCTACAAGGTTGAAAATTATGAGAAAGGTAGCAAAAGAAACTGAACTTTTAAGTATTAAAGAGAAGGGAAAGAACAAGAGAACGGGACATGGTGGGGGTGAGAGCGCTGTGGGAAGCCTGTAGTAGGGGAGGGAGGGTGATTGGGAAAAGGGATATATTAAGAAAGGTGAAATGGTTAAATATTGGACATGTTATATCCTGATTTATTTATTTTTTAAATGTTTGCAGTTCTTTCTGGATCTTCGTTTCTCTGTTGTAGTTTTTTTGCTTATTTTGCTTACCAGTAAATGACATGTATATTGTCGCCTTGCTTATTTAATATATATGCAGAGTACATCATGCGAAATGCTGGCCTAGATGAATCACAAGCAGGAATTAAGAGTGCGGGGGGAAAGATCAACAACCTCAGATATGCAGACGATACCACTCTGATGGCAGAAAGTGAAGAGGACCTCAAGAGCCTCTTGCTCAGGGTAAAAGAGGAGAGCGCAAAAGTGGGCTTGAAGCTCAACATCAAAAAAACTAAGATCATGGCATCCGGCCCCATCACTCCTTGGCAAATAGAAGGGGAAGTCGTGGAAGTAGTGACAGACTTCACGTTCCTGGGATCCCAGATCACCGCAGACTGTGACTGCAGCCATGAAATTAAAAGACGCCTGCTCCTTGGGAGGAAAGCGATGGCGAACCTAAACAGCATGATAAAAAGTAGAGACATCACCCTGCCAACAAAAGTCCGCATGGTCAAAGCAATGGTATTCCCAGTAGTCATGTATGGCTGCGAGAGTTGGACTATAAGGAAGGCCGAGCGCAGAAGAATAGATTCTTTTGAACTATGGTGCTGGAGAAGACTCTTGAGAGTCCCTTGGACTGCAAGAAGAACAAATCAGTCAATCCTCAAAGAAATCAACCCTGACTGTTCCCTGGAAGGCCAGATAATGAAACTGAAGCTAAAATACTTTGGCCACCAAATGAGAAGGGAGCACTCACTGGAGAAGACCCTGATGCTGGGAAAGATTGAAGGTCAAAGAAGACGGGGACGGCAAAGGATGAGATGGTTAGACAGTGTCATCGATGCAACGAACATGAAGTTGAGCAAACTTCAGAGGATGGCGGAAGACCTGGAGGGAGCTGGTCCATGGGGTCGCAAAGAGTCGGACTCGACTGTGCGACTGAACAACAACAAAATGACAGAAGGTGCATTATAAATGGGAGGGCCCCCGCAGTGGAACCCAACTTTAGTGGGTTAAAATCTAATTTGAAACTTTATTTTCATGGTGGTAGATCACCGGCACTTTTGGCTGTAAAAAATAGATCACTACCTGTTCGAAGTTGGACATGCCTGGTCTAAGGCACGTCTTAGACTGTTTTACTGCACTGTTTTCCTATTTTGTAATCCAAGTGGAGTCTCAGTGAGAAAGGCAGACTATACATAGAGTACACCAACTCTGAAAGTTACAACACACAATCAGGAGTGGCACCTGGTAGAGTGTTTTTTTCCTTGGACTGTATCATACAGCCAATGACTGGTACCTGGCAGGAGACAGGGGGAACAATGTGGGGTGCCATCAGCATTGATGTCATTTCCAGGGGAAACTGGAAGTGATATCATGCCAATCTACGAATCACCCAAAACTCTATGGTAAAACCATAGAATTTCTAATGTTTTCTATGTGGGATGATATCACTTCCAGGTTTTCCCCAGAAGTGACCTCATGCTGTTGCACCAACTGTGATTTTTTAAATCAGCTTTTCTCCCATCAGCGGACAGAACAGTGATAGGAAGTGGGGACTGCTGGTGGGAAGTCTCCCACCAGAGCGGGAGACCTGTCTACCCTATAAACCAGACCCCTTCTCCATCCAGGGCCGGCCCGAGGTGTTCCTGCGCCCTAGGCGAGTGCAGATGCCAACCGCCCGGTGGGGCCTGGAGACCTCCCAGCTGGCGTGCAGCGCCTCGGGGGGGGGGGAGCTCGGCTTTGCCACCCACTCCCTGGGCCTTGCCGGTGAAGCGCCCACTGCGCCTCCTCCAAGGAGCCTCCTCCAAGGAGGAGGAGGACGGTGGGCGTGTTGCGCGGCTGAAGTGCCGCCGGTCCCAGCAGGGGTTCAGGCTTTTCCTAGCGAAACTCCATCTCCTGTGCAGCCTGATTGGTCCCGGGGCTTACGCAGGGGCTCCGCCCACTAAAGTGCACCCCGCAGGCGTTTGTTTGGGCCTTGCCGGCGAAGCGCCCGCTGCGTATCCTCCTCCTCCGACGGGCCAGCGCTGCGGAGCCCAAGCCAACGGGGCGCCCGGTGCAGAGGGAGGGAGGGCAGCGGAGGTGACGCCGGCGGCCAGCCCTATCCTGGTCCCGTCTTCTTACCCAGCAGCAGCACCACCATCGGGGCGAGCAGCAGCGGAAAGAGGCAGCCGCCCATCCTGCGTGTCCTGCCGCCACCACTCTGGCCACCTAGCCCCGTTGCCACCACTGCGCACAGCTAGGAGCACCCGCCCACTCCCCTCCGCCCGGCTGGTGCAATCTGGAGAAAGGCTGCTGCCACTTGGGCTGCCTCTCCGAGTCCAAGCGAAAGGTCGGTTCCAAGGCCCCCCTCGGGCGCCGACTGCGGCGCGGGAGGGAGGGAAGGTAGGCAAGAAGGAGGGCGGGCACAGGAGGTGGAGTGGAGGTCTTGGAGGGTGGTGGACCTTGGTGCTTCCTGGCAGTGCGATGCCGCCTCCAGCTGGCTGGCTCGAGGGGGCACCGCGGCGCATGGCTCCATGGAGAGGGCGCTTCTCCGGCTCCTAGTGCTGGGAGCGTGCCAAGCTCCTGTGGCCACCCCTGCCTCTCCTCCCGTGCCCTAAGGGCCAGCCCACGCTCTAGGTGAATGCCTAGTTCGCCTAGCGGGTGAGTCGGCTCTGATTTTATCCTCACACTACCATGAGGTAGGTTGTGCTCAGTGTGCATGACTGACACAAGGTCACCCAACAAGCATCTGTGGCGAAGTGGGCACTCGAACCTGGGTTTCCCAGATCTTAGTTGAACACTGTACCCACTATACCATGCTGGCATCCTTGGAATATCTCAATTCTTCTACAACAGACCACTACCCAATCCTCAGCTGCCCCCTTACACAGAGCTGAATGTTCTGCTCCACCAACAGTGCTGGTTTACAGCATTTTTCTCTGTTTTAAAAACTGGAGGAGGTGTTCTTTTGCATAAAGATATACTCGAAAACCATAATTATCCTACAATACGTTATCAACAGTTCAAAATGTGTTGCGTAAAATGGCAGACTGGTCTCTGCATGGTGCCTAACACTGCAATTCTAGACAGTTACTCTACCCTTCAACTCACTGAAAATCAATGAGCTTAAAACCGGAGTAACTCCACACAGGATAGCACTGTTAGTGTTCGCATGGGCACAATGATGTGCATCTAACTGGAAACGAGATGCGTCCTCCACCCATGCAGAGCTTTTACGTCGGGAGGGGAGCGGAACCCTGAAGGAAGACAATGTCAGCAACAGACATTTACAAAATTTCCATGAAGCATTCCCCCACTCAACCCCAAAGGCAAAAATTTACCAAGGACAGGAATTTCTGGGAAAGAGGGGCAAGTTGGAAGGCAGGCAACCCATCACTGTACTCGGAAGCAGCTAAGGCTGCATTTAGGAAGAAGACACCCACAATAACACACTATTAAAAATAGTAATGAATATGATGAAGAGTAAAGCTGCCCATCTTCAGATGGCAATAGGTGCAGAGAGGAAAGGACTGAGATTTCAACCAGAGTTCAAGCAGACTGGGTGGCCCATGCAGGGTCCTAGCTTACACAGACATCCCCCACCCCACGCCCAATAACACGCTACTCTGGGTACCCACCTGGTATGCATGGTCAGCCTGGATATGCCAAAAAGAACTGGGGGCAGACTGGCTGAGGGCACTGCTGGCCAAGGGAGGCTCCAAAGGGGTGGCCTGTTCCGGAACGAGGGTCTCAGGCTTGGGTGGAGCCTGCTGGATGATAATGGGGGAGGACTCCGAAGGGGGGCTGGCAACGGTCCCCGTGGGCTCAGGTGGCGCCTCCTCCTTCACTTGCATTTCAGTGTAGTAGAAGTCTTCTTCCCTCTTCCTCTGGTCAGAGTTGGCCCCATCCCTGCAGCAGATGGTGGAAGAAAGAAATGCTTAAGGGGAAAAGTTCAGGCAACAACACCGTCCTTGGGTTACCTTTCCAAACTTTTGGATACTCAGCACAGAGATTTCTCTTTCCTGCATGAAAAGGAGAGGTGCTCTTCACTCAGCACTCAAGGGTCTGATTCAGTATAAGACAGGCATTCTCCTTACTACTGCAGGACAACCAACAGACCAGGGGTCCCCAATCTTTCTGAGTCTGTGGGGCACCTTTGGAATTCTGATACATGGTGGTGGTGGGCGCAACCATCAAATGACTGCCGCCAGAGGCAGAGCCAATGACAAAATGATTGCCATAGCAGACAAAGACAACCACAAAATGTCAGGGAGTAAGGTTACGCATAGCTCTAAGTAGTCAACATGTCAGGCAGAAGCTTTGTTTAACAGGAGGCTTTTTTAAAGGAACAATTTTTTAAAAAAATCTGCACAACCAGTCAGATCTCCAATGGCCAATCAGAAGCCCTGCTGAGCAAAAGCCCTGCCAGACCCCGCCCACTTTCTAAAAATGCTTGGCAGGCACCAGGATCCCTGTGTTAGATGCAGAGATCATTTCGGGGGGGATCGCAGTTCCCGCGGGTGAGGTACGGGGGTGGGGCACATGACGAAGCCCCGCCCCGTGCTTCCGGCCGCCCCGCTTCCGGCCCTCATTCAGCCAGGAGGAGGCAGGAGAAGAGGGAGGGTAAGTTGCTTCCTCCCTGCCTCTCCCCACCCCTGCCTGCCTGGGGCCAGGGAGGGCCTTCGTGGGGCTTCCTTGCACTCCCGCCGGCCTTGCAGGTCCACCGCCAGGCCCCTCATGGGGCTCGGCAGTGGAGCTGCAAGGCCGCCGGTGGTGGCCGGGACCGTTGGGGGCGGGGTGTGTAGCCTTATGACACACTTCTGGTGATGTCAGGGGGTGTGGCATATGAGTTACCCTAGCTCTTTTTCTACGAAACGACCCCTGGTTAGATGGTATGATCTCCAGTGACCCATCCTCCCTGTTTCCCAACCAGTTGGGGCTGAGAGATGGGACTGTGTTTTCTGATGTTTCTGAGACATGGCGGCATCAGTGCACTTCCACATGAGCCGCCACAGAAGGGAAGCCAGCAAGGGGAGGACAAAGAGATAGATCAAAAGAAATTTGTGTGTGGGGGGAGTCAGTGGTGCTAAAGAGCCAGGAAACCACCAAAGCATCAATGAAGGAAAAGTGATATGGGGGAAATCCCGGCACAAGTCCCTGGGACAAAAGGGGCTGGTGCCTTTGCAGGTCAAAGGGCAAAACAAAACATCTGATTTTTGGCTGCATATGTCTAGTCAGCCAAACCAGAGTTTCATTCTAGCACCTGAAAGGAAATTAATGCATCCTCCCCACCAGAGGGCCCCCCTCCACATCACACGAAAAGCATAACTTGCAAAGCAGCTCTGACAACCCAAACTGTATCTGCTATCACAGTGGAAAGCAAAACCTTTAAGAACTCATGAACACTGATTAAAATGTCAGCACAACAGTAACCCTTTGCATACAACAGAAGTGTGCGTAGGCAATGGGTGTAAACGGGGAGCAGGATCACACCCACTGGCCCTACATCCCATCTATGTGCAAACGAGCTACATGCACATAGACTCTCTCCTCTCAAGCCCTGGAAAAACAACATAAGGTTGCACATATGTAGACTCTATGGTGATAGCAGGCTGGGATGGTTTTGACAGCATCCCTATGCACACATGACATAAGCATGCCCAGTCAATGAGCATAAAAGGGAACCAGATAGTGCCCCACGGTCCTGCTCCTCTCAGCCTGCTATCACCATAGATAATGCTCAAGACTTGGTGAGAGATGTGAACATGATAGCACCAGTTGGGAACAGTGACCATAATGCTATCGCATTTATGTAAATAGGATGCTGCCCAAAAAGACCAACACAACCAGTTTTAACTTTAGAAGGGGTAACTTCTCTCAAATGAGGGGGATTGTGAAGAAGAAACTGAAAGGAAAGGTAAAGAGGGTCAAATCCCTTCAGGAAGCCTGGAGACTATTTAAAACTACAATTCTGGAACCTCAGATAAAATGTATACCACAGGTTAGGAAAGGTACAAAGAGGTACAAAAAAAGGCCTGCAGGGTTAACAAACAAAGTAACGGAAGGGGTAAATTGTAAGGATTCCTTTAAGCGGTGGAAGGCTAGTCTGTGTGAGGTAAATAAAAGGAAGCACAGGCTTTGGCAAATAAAATGCAAGTTGCTGATCAGACAGACAAAAAGGGATTATGAGGAACATATTGCAAATAACATAAAGAACAACAATAACAACTTCTTCAAATACATTAGCAGCAGAAAACCAGCCAGGGAGACAGTGGGCCACTGGATGACCAAGGGGTAAAAAGATTACCAAAGGATGACAGGGAAATGGCAGAGAAGCTGACTGCATTTTTTTGCCTCTGTCTTCACTGAGGAAGATGGGAGGTCCTTGCCCACTCCAGAACCGCAGATTTTATGAAGGGTGTCAAAAGACCTTAGTGAGATTGAGGTGACTAGAGAGGAGGTCCTACGCCTGATGGACAAACTAAAAACTGACAAATCACCAGGCCCAGATGGCATACATCTGAAAGAACTCAAATGTGAACTTGTGGGTCTCCTGACAATACTATGCAATCTATCACTAAAATCTACCTCCATTCCCAAAGGCCAGAAGGCAGCCAATGTAGCTCCCATCTTTTAAAAAAGTTCCAGAGGAGATCCAGGAAATTACAGGCTGGTCAGTCTAACATTGATACCAGGTAAGTTGGTGGAAACTCTTATTAAAGATAGAAATAGTAAGCACATTGTAAACAAAACCTATTGAGGAAGACTCAGCATGGATTTAGTAAGGGAAGATCTTGTCTCATTAACCTTTTAGAGTTCTTCTCATTAACCTTTTAGAGTTCTTTGAGGGGGTGAACAAATGTGGACACAGGTGACCTAGTTGATATTATTTACCTAGACTTCCAGAAAGCTTTTGATAAAGTTCCTCATCAAAGGCTCCTAAGTAAACTCAGCAGTCATAGGCTAAGAGGACAAGCCCTCTTGTGGACTGAAAACTGGTTAATTAACAGGAAACAGAGAGTGAGCATAAATGGGCAGTTTTCACAGTAGAAGTTGATAAGCAGTGGGGTACTGCAGGACTTGGTACTAGGTCTGGTGCTTTTTAACTTGTTTATTAATGATTTGAAGTTGGGAGTAAGTTGGGAGCAGCTAAATTTGCAGATGATACTAAGTTGTTCAGGGCGTGACAATCAGGGAGGACTGTGAGGCTGGGCGAGTGGGTGTCAGTGTGGCAAATGAGGTTCAACGTGGGCAAGCGCAAAGTAAAGCATATTGGAGCCAAAAATCTTAACTATAAATAGACATTGACGGGGTCTGAACTGGCGGTAACTGACCAGGAGAGAGATCTTGGAGTCCTGGTAGATAACTCACTGAAATTGTCAACTCAGTGTGCGACTGCAATAAAAAAGGGAAATGCTATGCTGTGGATTATTAGGAAGGGGACTGAAAACAAATCAGCCAAATATCATAATGCCCCAGTATAAATCTATGGTGCAGCCTTATTTGGAATACTGTTCACAGTTCTGGGTCACCGCATCTCAAAAAAGATATTATAGCATTGGGAAAAGATGCAGAAAAGAGCAACTAAAATCATTAAGGGGAAGGAACATCTTCCCTATGAAGAAAAATTAAAGAGGTTAGGGCTCTTTAGCTTGGAGGTTTACAAAATTATGCATGGGATAGAGAAGGTAGAGAAAGAAGTATTTTTCTGTCTTTCTCACAATAAAAGAATTCATGGGCATTCAATGAAATCAATGAGCAGTAAGCTGAGAACAAATAAAAGGAAGTACTTCTTCACCCAAAGATTAATTAACACATGGGATTCACTGCCACAGGAAGGGGTGGCAGCTACAAGCATAGACAGCTTAAAGAGGGGATTGGATAAACATACAGAGCAGAGGTCCACATGTGGCTATTAGCCACAAGGTATCGATGGAACACTATGTCTGGGTCAGTGATTCTCTGTATTCTTGGTGCTTGGGGGGCAACAGTGGGAGGGCTTCTGGAGTTCGGGCCTGCTGATAAGACTTCTAATGGCACCTGGGTTTTGGCCACTGTGTGACACAGAGTGTAGGACTGGACAGGCCATTGGCCTGATCTAACATGGCTTCTCTTATGTTCTTAAATTTTGGTTTTATGTATTTTTATGTGCCCTGATGTTAATGGCCCAGGATAGCCTGATCTCATTAGATCTCAGAAGCTAAGCAGAGTCAGCCCCGGTTTGAGCTTAGATGGGAGACCACCAAGGAAGTCCTGGGTTGCTGCACAGAAGCAAGCCATGGCAAACCACCTCTGAACGTCTCTTGCCTTGAAACCCCTACAGGGCTACCCTAAGTCAGCTGAGACTTGATGGCACTTTTCTACCACCATCTTTATGTGCTCTATTTTATGTCTCTTATTTATATTATAAGTCGTCTCAAGCTCCATAAGGAAGAAAGGTGCCTAATAAATGTTTTAAATAAATAAAATTAATACATGAAATAACTCAAAATGTGGAATGGAGCACATGCACAACCTAGCACTGGATTAGGGTAAGACTGCCCACTGCCTCAGCCTGGCTGTGATGGGCTGGATCAATACCAATGTCCCACCCTCCTGAATAACAACTTGCAGGAATGTATTCAGTGCGCCTTTTGCAAATGCAGCTTAAACTGGAATTGGAGGCCTTACCCCAAGTGCTGAGTCTTCACATGTCTCTTAATCCCAACAATGGAGCGAAGGACTTTGCCACAGCTGGGCCACAAACACTTGTACATCACCTTCACGGAATTCTAGGAGAAACATAGATAAGGGTCAGCCCGTGGCCAAGCTCTCAAGTTACCCCAACATCTGTGCAATTAACAGCTTCAGAACTTCCCTTGATACTCTCCCCCCTAACATCAGGGCAACATTAACTCCTGCCCCCCAAAACATTTTTTTCTTACATTATTCCTGGGGAAATTCAAATTAGGACAGCAAGGACTCCTCCTTTTTAAATTAATTGTAAGATTTATTAATTTACTAACCTCTTCGAAAGATCTAGGGGCCAAAAAGAATTCAACGCTCCTGTCTCCCACTCCCATCACTACTCTCCACACGTTTCCTTATTTTTTATTAATTGGAACATTTATTAATTTATTAACCTCTCCAAAAGATCTAGGGGATAAAAAGAATTCAATACTCCTATCTCCTGCTCCTGTCTCTACTCTACTCTCCACACGACTCCTTATTTTTTTATTAATTGTAAAATTTATTAATTTATTAACCTCTCCAAAAGATCTAGGGGACAAAACGGAATTCAACATGCCCCTCTCCCACTCTGGTTTCTACTCTCCACACCTTTCTTTTCCTCGGAGCAGGCTCCTCAAAGACAAAAGGATCCGAGTCTGTCTCAAAGCCGTCATCAGCCCGAGGGGAACTGAAGGCCTCGCTTGTGTACTTGGGACTGGCCTCAGAGTGGGGGGGTGAAGGGGTGGAGATTCCACTGCCACCACTCCAGTGCCCACTGGTGGTGCTGCTGCCGCCGTCCGACATATCGCCACTCTCTTTCCACACGTCACACGCTGCTTGGGATACTGAGGCACAGAAAGAGAGACAGTAACAGGCATGAACAACTGCATTACACTCACAGGGTGGTGGGACGGGGGGGTGGGGGTGGGGGTGGAGGGATTAAGCTCCAGGCCACATCCATAGCAGTGTGTGCCGTATCTGCCAGTTCTTACGGCCCTTTTGTGGAGATACATGAAAACATGTGGATATCACCAGATAAAGTCTCAAAGAGGGGATGAGCTGAACTTCCAGAGGCCATGAAGGTGGGGGATTTTTGTAACTTCTTATCCCTGCCCACAACTGAAAAACTGCAGATAACATCTAGATTGCAAGCAAACATATTTGTGCATTTCTTATTTCCATTCAGCGTGCAGAATCCAGGTCATTGGGCCAAGAACTGTATTTTTAAAAGCACAAGTTATTTGCAATATATGTCAGTTAAGAGTATAATGCAGCAATTAATGCAGCAATTCTGAATGCCAGGGATAGAAGATGGCTGAAAAATTAAGATCTTTCTTAATATGAACAGAAGCAACCCGTGTTTGGAAATTCTGTGTGTTGCCTGACCCCAACCAGTTTGTTGATATTGTTTTAAGGGGAAAGGGTAATTGTGGGGCAGGGAGAAAATAAGAAGTTATAAAAGAAAGTCCTTTCCTATGAAGCTTTCCAGCACCTGTGACATGAGATCCTTTAAATGAAGTTGCTGGTGACCACACCTTCTGTGTGCAAAGCAGGTGCTCTACCACTGAGCCAGCCACAGCCTCCACATGACTGCCTGATCCACTTCACCTATGCAATGGCTGTATTTCTACTAAATGAATATGTGCTACCTAAGTACAACACCTTGCATTTTTATATCAGATGTATACATCCAAATCAAAAAACGAGGAGTTATTTCTTTTATCTCAAACATGGTTTAGTTCACACCACTCTGGTAAACCTGTGTTGGACTGCAAGTCAGATGGAATATTCTTCCATGCAAACCCCACACACAACCGGGGTGGGGAGAGACACTGATTCATGAAAGGCCTGAAGCAGTGGGTGGGCATTCACAGTTTGCCAAGCTGACTTCAAAAGGGCCCAGGAGGAGCCTGATGAGAAGGCTTCCTACTAGCTGCTCCAGGCTGTGCTGACATGAAGCCAGCAAGATGAGCAGGGACAGGGTACCTGTGTCCCCTCCCCCCCTTCTTGACTTGAGGCCATCGAGGGCCTAAGGCCAGGGACACTAGGGGTTAGGCCCAACAGAGGGGTAGGACCCCCACTTCTCACAAACCAAACCTACTGGATAATGACAATAATGACACTTAGGTGCATGTTTCCTGGGGAAAGGATAGAACCCTGCAGCTCTCCACAAGTGAGATCCCAAACTGGCATCCTCAAAGGCAACTCTCTGAATCTGCAGCGGACATCAAATGATTGAAACCACCAAAGTCATCTTCTTTTTGGGGAGAAATGCTGGGTATAAATATTTTCAGTAAATGAAATGCTGTTCCCTTCTCATCAACTCTATTTTCTAACCTCTCCGGCAAGATAAGATTGGCCAACTGTGTCAAAGGCCATTGATAAATCGAGCGGGACCAAAAGGGATGCATTACCCATTGCCAGATGTAACCGGAGAACCTCCACCAGAGCAACCAATGTTGTCTCAATCCAACACCAGGCCAGAGACCAGAATGATGACAGGCCAAAAGCAAGCTCTTCTAAGTTCAACTTATATGTCAGAACCCCAAGTATGGTTTGAGATTCTAAACGTACAACAGGTAACTGTAGCTTAGAGCTGCATGCCAGCTTCCCTTTTCTACTTGCTCTGCTTTAGAACTTCCCTCCCAGCTCACCAGTTCAGACATGACAGCTGAGAGACTGAGCTGTGATCTGGGAGGTTGCCAGTTCAAATGTCATCTCAGCCACAAATACTCTCAGTAATCTCAGGCGAGCTCCTCTCCCTCTCCCCCTCCCCCCTTTCTGTCTCAGACCTCACAACAGAACAACAGGACAATTATAATACTGGACTACCTCACAAGGCTGTTGCAAGGATTACTGTGATAATGTATGTGATCTACTACAAATACTGAAACAGCTGTACAAACATATTAGGCGCTATTATTATTGTGCCAAATCTTACTCAGCAAAACTATGGTCTGCAAACCCACTTCATATCACAGTTTCCAATTTGGAGCTTTCCAGCCAATCGTGGTCAGTTCAGACAGCACGCCAAACCAGAGTTATGCTTCCTTCATCCCACTAGAGAAGACGTGATAGAAGCTGGCATCTTTTTTCGTCAAATTAATTAGTGCAATTAAAGCATGCAGCTGGAAAAAAGAGAGCATAATGTGTGTCCCCCCCAACCTCATTTCCATTGTGTTTTCCCGTCCATCACTGACAATGCAGCTTGCAGCGGATCAACAGGCCTGGCTGCCACACTCGGCTACAAGACTCCTGCATTTCCCACGCTGGAAGGATCCTATTTTTACACTCTCAGATCCAAGGCGACTCTCCTGAGAAACGGGAAGCGCCTCTAAATAAAGGCACCGGCTCCTCAACGCTCCCGTGCCCGCTGCTCCCGTAATAGGTCTGAGCATCCGACTGGAAAGCAGCAGTGGGTTGGGTTTCTTGTCCCGCGTCTCTCACTCTCTCTGGGAATGCAGACGGCATCCCTCATGCAGCCAGCTGCCTTTCTAAGCAGCTGTCTGGCGGCTGCAGAGGGGACAGAATGATTTGCCACAAACAGCAACCTTGAAGGATTTGACTCACAGGTTCCTCACAAATGGGGGGGGGGAGAGTTCCCCCTCTAAGGAAAGTGTTCTACCTCCCTTGCTTGCAATTGCTCTCCTCCCTTGCTTGAAATTAGGCCTGAATGAGACATTCCAAGGCACAGAGTCCCTATCCCTGAGTCCACCTCCTATAACTAACGCGGGGGTCATTTTCAGAGAAGAATCAGAAGCCCCATCTGACAATTTCTGCAAAGCTTCTTACCCCCTACCGGCCATTTTTTCTCATCCCTGCCTCCTCAAAAATGGTTCTGAAATGAGAGATAAGTCTGGTGGCGGCTGGGGAGGCCCAAAGAGAGGAATTAGAATCATAGAATGACAGAGCTGGAAGGGGCCATATGAGCCATTTGGTCCAACCCCCTGCTCAGTGCAGGATCAGCCTAGGGCATCCCTGACAAGTGTTTGTCGAGACACTGCTTAAAGACTGCCAGGGAGGGGGAGCTCACCACCGCCCTAGGCAGCTGATTCCACTGTTGCACAACTCTTACTGTAAAAAAGGTTTCTTTAAATATCCAGCCGGTACCTTCCCACCCTTAATTTAAACCCATGACTGCGAGTGAGGGAAGGGTTAATCTCCTTGCAAAGAACTCCCCCCCCCCATTGCATTGCCATGACCTAATATGTTCACATTCACCAACATTTCACGTCACTCCATCCAAACTGTCTCTCAGCATATTGGGCTGACGGCCAGCATGGGATACCATGCACAGTGTCAGATCAGGACCAAAAAGCATAGGTTCAAATTCTCCACTTAGCAGTGAAGCTTACTGGGAAACCACTGGGCCACTCCCTACTTCTTGTTCTAAGCTCCCTCACAGGGTTGTTGTAAGGATATAAGAGGAAGAGCCATACATACTTCCTGGGAGGAAGGGTAGGACAGATAGATACATGAGGCCAGCTTGGGGTGGGGAGGAGGAGGAAGCCATACAGAGCCAGGCAATCTGTGGCTACAGATGGAAAACCTGGTTAGCACTAAGCAACACGGGTCACAAATGCTCCAGGTAAGACCTCTCCTGAACAAGCCCTGCTGAAACCTTGCATAGCTCCTATCCAGGGGTCATTTCCTGCAGGAGCGCACAGGAGCGGAGCTCCGGCAGTAAAGAGCCCAGGGGGCGGGCACATGCAACAAGCCCCACCCCCTGCTCCCAGCAGCCCTCAGTCAGAACAAGAAGTAACCAGGTAAGTTGCAGAGCCCCCCCCCCCCCGGTCCAAAACAGTCCAGTGACACATTTAAGACCAAGTTTTATTCAGGTGCAAGCTCTCCCTCCTCTGCGAGATCTGCACGTTTCCCCCCCTCCAATAGCTAGCAATCCAAAACAGTCCAGTGGAGCCTGAGCGGTGGGTGTTGCCTTCTTACACACTTCCAGTGATGTCAGGGGGTGTGGCATATGCAAATAAGTTATACTAATGAGTTATGCTAATGAGCTCCTGCACCTCTTTTTCTACGAAATGACCCCTGCTCCTATTCATTTCAGTGGGGCTTGCACAGGAGAGCTTCCCCAGTGTGTTGTGTCCTGTGGGTGAGAGCTGCCTGCCTCCTGGTTTGCTGCCTTTAAAGGCACCCAAAGCCTGTCCTCCAAGGCAGTAGCCTCAATTTGCCTCACAGCAAGAGAGGGAGGGGAGGCTAGGGGAGTGGGATAAGGAGCTCTGAGGTCAGGAGCCTAGGTAGCTTAAGGAAGAGAAGAAGAGTGGCCATTGGCTGGGACAAGTGGTAGAAAGAAGGGGCTGAGGGGAAACATAGCAGAGCTTGAAATGTTAACAGGCCAAGGATGAGACACAGCCTACTGACTCCTCTTCTTCGGCTGCAAAAGGAAACAGAGGTTTACAGCATGGGCTCCAGTGACTGGCTGGCAGTATAAAGCCTGTGTATTGGTCAGGGAGTCTGGCTTTCTTCTGCCCTTACCTCAGGGCAGGCAGTATCTACTGCTCACTGCATTTTTGGCTCCAGCAGTGTGTGATTTGTCCACAGGAAGGAAGGAACTCAACAGGCAAGAGGGCTGTGGACTACTAGAACCGGGAACAACGTCAAGAGAACAGGGAGGGGCTGAAATTTCCCAAATCAGTTTGTGTTAAGCAGCCAAGGTATTTTGCTGACATCTCTAGAATTTATGTCACTGCACTGTTTGTTGCGCATGCAGAAATAGGCTCTCCCTGGCTGAACAGCTGCTGCAGCAAACTCACCAGGGATGCTGGTGTCACTATTAGGGGGGCTCTGGACAACTGGACTGCAGGATAAGCTGGTCAAGACCATTGCTGCCATCATCTCATCCATATCCACTGCAGCGTCCGATTTCCTGCAGTGGGAGGAAGAAAAAAACAGTTAAGCTCCCCAGATCAAGGGGCCAATGTCTTCTGATGGAGATACAGCACTGGACTTGGGAGAGCTGAGTTCAGGTCCCAACACAGCGTCCTGTGCAGCTCCTGTTTATTTCAATGGGCTTATATAGGAAGTATTTGGAGTGGATTGTACCGCAAAACTACTGCAACCATTAACACTCCCCAATGCAGGAATTCATTCTTAAAAACCAAATAGTCTTCCAATAAAGCATCTTGATTTACAAAAAACCAAAAAACTCTTCTACTTTCAACACCCATTTAGGAACAAGCTTTAAGGGACAGCTCTAAAATCAGCAAGGTCAAACCAAGTCCAGGGCCCTTTTTAAATACAGGCAGAAAAATGTACACAGTTTGGATTTTTGTACTAAGATAGCAGTGCCGCCTTAAGCAGAGTTAGACTTTTCTAATCCCACTGAAGTCAGTGGATTTAAAAGGGAATAACTCTGTTTAGGATGGCGCTGTAGGAGTTCCATTCTCTTGCTTCTCCAGGAGGGCTAAAAAAGATCTATAAAACATGCTTTTAGCATAATGAATTATTCAAGCAGTTTGCCCAAACAGCCCCCAAGAGCCGGCCTTGGAACACTGAGTACCTGGAAATCACTTGGCAGCATGCATGGTCTTTTCACTGTCAATTTTAAATATAAAGCATTAGTTGGGTCAGAGAGTTAAGAGATTTCTTGGGGGATTCCACATTTGTCCACCAGAATTAACTAATAGGCCTTAACCAAGGACATTCTAAATAAATTGGTATATACTCTGGGGAGGAAAAAAAATAGACAAACTGAAATTTCACATTCAAATTAATATTCCCAGTTTGGCACCAAGACAGAAGCAGAACTGTCTGACCTGTAAAAATTGAGCAGTGTTTGGGGGGTTTTTTAAACTGTGTTCCAAGGTACCCGGAGATTCCTCAGAAACTTATCAGGGACCTCAATGAAAAAAAATTAGTAGTGTTGGATGAGCATCCCTCCAAAGATGGTTGATCTTCCCCCATGCATCCCAAAGGCAGAGAAGACTGTCGGGTCTCTTGTAGGTTTCAGAAGGGAAGCAGTTTTTCATTACATTGAGTTGGACTGGTTTTCGCTTTTAGCAAAAAGGCAGTTAATAAACTTTATAAAAGTCTGTGGTCTACAGATGGAACCTTCCTGCAGGAACCAGCCTTAGGTAAAACTGGCAGGAACCTATGGGAGGGCCCTTCCTACCGCTGCCCCCTGTGGAACTCACTCCCTCACTAAACTAGATTGGCTACCAGGCCTTCCAAAGCAAGCCAAAGATATTTTGATTCCAGAGGGCCTTTGGACGACTTCACAAAAGAGGTGATCACCCTTCAAATATAATTCGCTTGCTACTTTCATCATATTTGATTTTTTTTAACGAGGCTCTCCCCTCTCCAGCTCCGTCAGCCAGCGCTTAGCAATCCTATTGGGTCCACCTGGTGGGTCTCCCATGGCCCCAGAAATGGGCTGAGAGGGGGGGGGGGCTGCTTCACATGATTTCTTCTCTATCCCAGGACAGCAGCTCTTCTCAAGCCCAGAGCTGTGCCCTTCCTTCCTTCCTGGCCTCTTACAGAAGCCCATTTTAAAGAGTCGGTCTACCCCTGCCTGCCAGTCCCCACCTGGCCAGCCACACCTGGCCTATTCCTGGGGAGTGGCGATTGCCCTCTCCTCTCACTTACCAGTCTTCCTCCTCGTCCAGCCCCTCCCCCCATTGGCTGTGCCCTGGGCTGGCTGGGCCAGCAAGCCATAAACTAGGCCTGACCCTCAGGTCATAAACTCTGAAAGTAAATCAAAAGCATGCACATTAAATAGGCAGTATTTATTCAGGATGAGGAAATTCTGTTTTCCTAATGTTTCCCCTCTTCTTATTTAAGCAGATAATATGACGTTTTCTCTCAAAAAAATAATACAGCTGTGCTGCTGAACACCTTCAGGAAGAAAAACAGCAAAGGTTCTCTAATCCAGCAGTTCTGCTGGCCCAACGAAAGAAGACCATAATGATGACAGACTACCCCAGACATACCTTTTTGGTACATCAATATTCCTAGAAACTGATCTCGGAGCAGATGCTGTGGCAATAGGTGCTGTGGTCGGACACTGTTCCATCGCCACAGGGACAGTGCTGTAGCCCATCGTTGTGGGAGTGGCATGGTCCATCTCAAGAGCTGGAAGAGGTGGTATCTGGACCTCAGCTAGCCTCACTTCCTTGGCTTTCCTGCAGATGTGAAACCCATGCTCCAGGAGCAACACCTTCACTTCATTACTCATGGGGTCATGGTGGTCCACCAGACCCGCATTTTCTTGCCCATTGTAGAAAACATAAACCTACAAAGGGAAAACTTACAATCAGTTAAAGGTGATCATTCATCATCCAACACAGGTGTTATTTTGCAGTTCCCCAGCACATCTCCCACTTTCCTTTTCTGTGCAATGCCCCTCCTGGAAAAGAATTCAGCCCATTCCTGGAAGACAGAACTACCCATAGACATGAGCTCTAGCACCTGGATGCAGGCTCCATGTTCAGAGGCAGTATCCCTCTGACAGCTACACAAAGAACAGGGGGTAGCCATCACTTCATGCCCTGCTTTCCAAAAACAACATCTGACTGGTCATCATTAGAGGCAAGAATACTGGACAAGACGGATTGTTGGTCTAATCCAACCAGGCATTTTTGGGGTTTTAATTTGTCATATTGTTATCACATGTAAAGGAGGATTTTGTTTTTAATTCAAAATCAATTTCCAGAAGCCTGAACAACAGGAAAGGATCAAGTTGCCATACATGGGGATGTTACAGGGAGCCATGGACATTTCATACCTACGATTTTTATGCCTAACAAGGTACACATGCAGGTTGTCTAAATCAAGTAGCAACAGGTACCTTAAGAAGCAAGTGGCTTCCAGTTGGTTTTCATACTATCTTCAAACCAAATTCAGAACAGGCTTCAAAGACCCCAATTATACCATTCCTTACCAAACGTACTCATAATCAAGCAAACGAAAAGAGTGCATTTGGCAAGGATGGGAAGCATTCTTCTAATGGCAAAACCCTGCCCCCTCCCCCACTACTTCATGGAGAGGCACTATTCAAGCTCCACATGGGTCTTCCCTCTCCAATATGACCTAATTGGAGAAAGCTATTGCCTAACTTCCCGAGGTCTATTTTTATGAACGTAATTATATCTACGCTGAGATGCGCACACTTGTGTAAGCTATTCTTGGAGCCTATTTATAGGGGAACTCCAATTACCATGTGGAAAGATCAAGGATGCAGCAACAACCGGTTCTGTGATAAAGAGGTGCAGAAAATGGCAGGCACAGCACATTTTGGAGATCTCTCTGCTCAGGTCCAGAATGCTGCACACAAAACAGAATCCCAAGAGACCTCCTCACAAAATCCGTCCTTTTTTACTCATACTCATAAGGCTACCCATGCTGAAGTTAATTTTTGCCTTAAATGGCTCCCTCTTCTTCGTCTTCTTCTTTTTTGCATAAGACTCTCATGGAAATGGGGCCGTGGGGGGAGTTGAAAGGCCATCAAAAGCTAAAACCAGGCCTGCTTCACCATGGCACTTGCCTAGGGTTGCCCGGTTTGGGAAATACCAGGAGATTTTGGGGGTGGAGCCTGAGGAAGCTGGGGTTTGGAGAGGGGAGGAACTCCAATGGGGTATAATGCCATAGAGTCTGCCTTCCAAAGTGGCCATTTTCTCCAGATGAACTGATCTCTGTTGCCTGGAGTTCAATTGTAATCCCAGGAGATCTCCATCCACCACTTGAGCCGGATATACGGGCAAACAGAATAGGAACCAGTGGGTGGCCAGTGGATCAAGTATTGGGACTTGAACTGGAGAAAACCAGGTTGAAATCCCCCACCTGGCTGTGAAGCTCCTTGAGTGACCTTAAACCAGCCACCCTCTTTTAACCCATCCTACTTCACAAGGTTGATGTGATGTTAGTGTGGAAAACCCCATGAATGCTACTCACTGGAAGGGTAGATTATAAAGTAGGGATGAAATGGGAGGATGGGCTTACGCCTGCCAAAATGCAACCACCCACTTCCATCAGCAAGTACTGCCATGGGATTTCTGCTGAACATGCAGGGGAGTTATTAACAAGACACATGATTCTGTTTGTTTTCATTAGGCACCATGTCCCTATCTCCAGGCCCATAACCAGGATTTTGTGGCTTGTGGGGCAATTTTTTTTCTGGTGGGGCTGAAGTTCTGTGCAGGGGGAAAAAAGCCATTCAGCCAATAGAAAACTGTTACCAGGATAGATCTCTAAACTGCAAGCTGTAGAACACTTTAGATGACAGTTCTCAGCTGCTGCAAGTGAATCACTTCTGCCAGCCTAAGCAACAGTTCTGATAACAAGATGGCAGGTGGGGGTGATGAGCCAGTTTGGTGTAGTGGTAAAGTGTGTTGACTCTAATCTGGGAGAACCAGGTTTGATTCCCCACTCCTCCACTTGCACCTGCTGATGTGACCTTGGGTCAGTCACAAGCTCTGGCACAGCTGTCCTTGAAAAAGAGCAGTTTGTGTCAGAGCTCTCTCAGCCCCACCCACCTCACAGGGTGTCTGTTGTGGGGAGGGGAAGGGAAAGGAGTTTGTAAGCCGCTCTGAGACTCCGAGTGAAGGGCGGGGTATAAATCCAATCTCTTCTTCTTCTTTTTCTTCTTCTATAGTCAAGAAAGATAACAGGCAGAAGAACTCTCTTAAAGGAGACCAGTTTCTTGACACAGAGTTAGAAGTAACCTTAAAGGTCACCTACTCCAACCCCCCCCCCCCCCCCCCCCCCCGCGCGTGTGTGTGTATTGAACATCCCCCCTCCGCCCCCCCCCCCCCCCCCGTTCTCAGTGTGGGAATTAGTCAACAACAGCACCCCACTCTGCTTAAAGGAGCGCATGCCTTTTTAAAAAGTTGTAAAATGACTGAAAAAAGCATTTACAGGAGAAATTCTTGTGGGGCTATGCCTTTAAGAAAGGATGCAGAGCCCCCAAATGACCCACCATAGCTACGGGGAGTTTTGGCTTTTTGCTATGTGGTTTTTCTTGCTGATATATCCAATGAATCCAGTACTTCCAATACCAAAATTGGTATTGGCATCTTCTGAAAAAAGGCCTCTCATCTAAACCAAACACGGTACATATTTAAAAGACAGGGGATTACTTTATTTTGGCCAGGCTTTCAGGACATAGCTCTATTTTGTACAGTTCCCAATGCTTTTCCTCATAGGTATAATTACTTCTGAGTGGGTTGTTTTTGTAGACAGTCAGCTCCAGCTAAAGACAAAGAAGCCAAAGGTGTCTTGTCATAAAATCCAGCAATACAGGCTCTTGCAGTCTATCTCTTCCTAAAATCTGCAGAAACCAAGAAAATGGACTACAAAAGTTTTAGTAAAATAAATTTTAAAAAAGAAGTACAAAAGAACCAGCAACAGAATTTTGGATCCCTTATTCAGTGTTAGGTCATCAAGGCTACAATACATCCATAAGTAGAAACCACTTTGATACCTTTTGACCCGGTTGCAGCGCCAGCCAGTTTTGGTTCTGATTGGTGGACTCTTCCGCCTGCTCCTCATACGAAGCAAGGGGAGAAGACGCTTTGCTAAGTTCCGGTTGCAAAGATGAAACTTGTGTTGTCACAAGAACTCCGTCCCCCAGCAAAGGGGGAGCGGAAATGCGAGCACCCAGCAGGGACCGCTTCCCCAGCCGCCTGGACAGCACACTCGCCATCTCGGACACACTGCCAACAACAAAGATAAGGAGAGAATTATATTATCCAATGGAAGATGGGTCGCATACACCATAAACAACCAGTTTGGTTAAGTGCGCAGACTCTAATCTCGGAGAACCGGGTTTGATTTCCCACTCCTCCACTTGCACCTGCTCGATGACCTTGGGCAAGCCAGTGAAAAAGAACAGTTTCTGTCAGAGCTCTCTCAGCCCCACCAGTTATTAACAAGACACATGATTCTGTTTGTTTTCATTAGGCACCCTGTCCCTATCTCCAGGCCCATAGCCAGGATTTTGTGGCTTGTGGCGCAATTTTTTTTCTGGTGGGGCTGAAGTTCTCAGTGCAGGGGGGAAAAAGCCATTCAGCCAATAGAAAACTGTTACCAGGATAGATCTCTAAACTGCAAGCTGTCGAACACTTTAGATGACAGTTCTCAGCTGCAGCAAGTTAATCACTTCTGCCAGCCTAAGCAACAGTTCTGATAACAAGATGGCAGGTGGGGGTGATGAGCCAGTTTGGTGAAGTGGTAAAGTGTGCAGACTCTACTCTGGGAGAACCGGGTTTGATTCCCCACTCCTCCACTTGCACCTGCTGATGTTACCTTGGGTCAGTCACAAGCTCTGGCACAGCTGTTCCTGAAAGAGCAGTTTGTGTCAGAGTTCTCTCAGCCCCACCTACCTCACAGGGTGTCTGTTGTGGGGCGGGGAGGGGAAGGTAAGGGAAAGGAGTTTGTAAGCCACTCTGAGACTCCTTTGGGTAGTGAAGGGCGGGGTATAAATTCAATCTCTTCTCTTCTTCTTCTTCTTCTTCTCAGAGAATCGCCTCCCTCCCTAGTTCTCAAAGCAAGAGTCAGCCCTTCCTAAGGAAGTCTAGGCAGATGGCCCTGCTAGGTAATTTTTTTTTTCATAATTCATCATACAAGTTTTAAGGTGTGTATTGATAGGCCCTACATCTGCATGACCTACAGCAGAGGTCCTTAGTACTATGGTGCCCATCAACACCTTTCCTGGTGTCCGCCAAGTGTTCTTAGGAAGCAGACTGGGCTTTGCCCAACAAGGCTTCTGATCAGCCACTGGAGATCAGATTGGCTGTGCAGGTTTTTAAAAAGTCGCTTCAGCAACAGATACCACCTCAGTACAAGGATCTTCACTGCATTACTGTGTGTGTACGCAAGAAAATATTTTTAAACAATGCGTTCATTTTGAAATGCATCCTGTTCAACAGAGCTTCTGCCCAAAAATTAGAGTTATGTGTGACCTGACTCCCGGACATTTTCTGGTTGGCTCCGCCTGCTGTGGCTGCCATTTTGTGGTTGGCTCAAATTTTGGACTGCAACTGATTTCATCACTGGAGTAACTCTCATGGGGATCTACCTCAACGCTCTGACCCCTAACTCCAGCCTCAGTCCTACTGAGACACTTTCACTATGTGATCTCACTACAGCCCTGTGCTCCCAGTATTAACAACCCCACCTTCTCTCTCCTCTGGCTCTTACTCTTCTGTCTTTGGGATTTTAACTTGAATGGCTCTGAACCCTCCCCTTTTTCTCAGATTAGATTAATCTTCCCCAGGCCATGTTTTTTTAAAAAAAAAAAAAAGGAGAGCCTAAAAATGCCTTTCATTGCAGACAACAGAGGATAATTGTTTTAAAATCCAGTGTGTATCCAGCGTTAATGTTGATTTTTCTTCATTTCAAAGGTAAGGGAAAGGCAAACAATGCGACTTGAAAAAATATTCAGCAACTGCAATCTTATACACACACACACTCTCCCTCTCACTAGGGATCCCACTATAGTTGCCAGCCTCCAGGTGGGGCCTGGAGATCTCCTGGAGTTACAACTGCTCTCCACGCACGCCGGGCGGGGGGGGGGGGGGGGGCGGACGGCTGAGGTCCACCAATCTCCAGTCTCACCAGGAGCCACCCCCAAATCTCCACGAATTTCCCAACCCAGAGTTGGCAACCCCACTCCTACTCCTGCCATTTACCAGCCTCATGTTAGCAACCCCAGATCTCACTCCCTGGACTGCAATGGAGCCACTTCCCAAACAAATGTACATAAGATTACTCAGTACTACTTTCATGAGGATGAACTGAAACACCACAAAGGAGTGAGCAAACTTTAATTAACGTTCAACAAAATACTTTGACATTCTGCCTGAAGAAGAGTTCTGCTTAGCTAAAAAGTTGCTCACTACTTAATGAAGTTCTTAATAAAAGGAATTGTCCTAATATTGCCTGCGGGGTCCTAGTGGCTACCTGCAATTTCTACATTACTCAGAAAGATTATTATTAACCACAGTTACTAAGATGTGAATTCCATTTATAATAAATGGGAATTACTTCCAAGTAAACATGCATAGGGTCGGAGGAACAAAATGTCATCACTAATCTAACTTTCCTTTGCATCAAGGGGACGCTCAAGTTTTGCTATTAGCCTAGGGAAGCTCCACGCAAATTCTAATGAGTAGGCAGAAGGGATAAGTGAGGTGGTGAAGCTACCCAAGGGAAATTATTTTAGAATGGTGAACTTCAGTGTACATCCCAGACAAGTGGAGGAATAAGAAATCGCCACCTCCTGGCTAAGCAGTTCTCCCAAGAAGAGCCAAAAATCACCAGTTTGTTTTGGTGAATTTGAGCAGTGTCAAATGGAAGCCACAGCCACCAGTGTTCCCTCTAAGCTGAGTTAGTGTGAGCTAGCTCACAGTTTTTTAGCCTCCGGCTCACACATTTTTGTCTTAGCTCAGGAAGGATGGCTCCAAAGCAAACTAATGTATGCAGTAGCCAAGTGGCTCGCTCACAACTTTAATGCCAGCAACTCACAAAGTAGAATTTTTGCTCACAAGACTCCACAGCTTAGAGGGAACATTGACAGCCACCCCAAAACCTTATGGATTTTTTAAAAAATTTCTCCTTTCTTAGGAAGGTTTAATTTCTTCTAGAGAAACCCAAAGTTCTATTAGTGTGGACACCTATCTCAAGCCAACATTCTTCTAATTCCATCCAATACAGTTGCTGTATCAGCAGCTGTACACACAAACCTGGGCACATGCTAGTCAGGGGGTTAATAGATGGGCATTTGAATGAGCATTCAGACATGAGACCAAACCTAGAACAATGGGCGGCAACCACCCGTGGATGCCCACCTCATTTTAGCCTACAGCTCTTAAAAGCAAACATATACAAGACACTTGGTGAACTTTCCACACATACACAAGGCAGCAGAGGAGAAGGTTCTCTTGCATTATTAAACAATGTCCAGCTGAACTCCCCTGAAAATTCAAAAATTCTTATTAGAAAAAATTGCTATGGAAGCAGAAGTACAAGGATTAACTAAAAATATGCTTACAGAAACTGTCCTTGATTTAGACAAACAGCGAGGAGGAAAAGGATTTTTTAAAAAAGAACGAAAGAATGATTAACTAAAATAATGCCGCTTTTTTGTCTCTGCTGCAATTGGAGAAAGTTTATATACTACATATATCACATCTGTTTTTTGTAGAGAGTCTACACCATGAATGAAACCTCCCGTTTCAGCATCATATCCTCTACACCCCACACCCCAAACATTTCTGGATGTCCCTGTGCCTCAAGAAAGGTCAACTGGGCCCTTGGACAGGAACCCCCAGCAGCAGGCAAAGAAGCTCTAATGAAGCCTAGAAAGAATTGCCAAGGGCCATCCCAGGAGGAGGGAAGGGCTAGCGTCCATGAAGAACAGTTGCAAGTTAATGACAAAAACGGGGTGCATATGAAACAAGACAAAAATAGAAGCACTGCCCAGGGCCATTCCCAGATTGCAGTGAAAACCCCAAATGGCAACAGACAAACCATTCCCACTAATACGAAATAAGAGGTATTCTGTATCAGGACATCCTCCTGCAGAGACCCCAGTAAAACAAACAATAGAAACTCCGGACACAATTGTGACTCATGGGACAGATCGACCCATCTCTCACTCCATGTCCTTCAGGGAGCTGCCATCTGAGGACTGCCACTTCTCCTAGCTTCATGATAAAGTCATCTCTCAAATACATTTCAAGACCAAAGATCCCTAGCAGCCTCGCAATTGTTGGCAGCCGTAGAGTCTAACTTCTACACATTCAGCAGTGCCAGCCTGAAAGCCACACATGCCAACAGAAAACCCTGCCCCCTAGCCCAGATGTGTGTGGGTACAAGCAACAGGTTCTCAAGGGAATGTACGTTACACTGGGCTTGACAAAAGAGAGGCAGAGTGTTCCCTGTGCACATTTCCAGCACGGGTTTGTGCAACTGAATGAAGAGGTAGTCTTTATTTTGCATTTCCCAGTACACATGTATACACACACACACACACACACACAAATTAAAAAAGAACTGTCTGGGAGGAAGGTACACAAACAAAACTGATGCCCACGCATCCCCAAGGGACAATGTTGGCAGGAAACAAGTCACTAAGCTAAGGGATGGTTTTCTCAAAGCCAGATAAGCTTCTACTGTGTAAACAAGGGGTTCACTTCTAATTCAGCAAAACATAGTCTGTTCAGCCCTGACCTGGATGGCCCAGGCTAGCCCGATGTCATGAGATCTCAGAAGTCAAGCAGGTTAGTCCTTGGATGGAAGACAGCCATGGAAGTCCACGGTTGCTAGGCAATAGCAATCCACTTCTGTTCGTCTCTTGCCTTGGAAACCCTATGGGATCGCCATAAATCAGGTTCGAATTGAGGGCACTTTCCACCACCATAGGCGTTTCTTAAAAAACCCAAAAAACCAGGCTATCAACCATCATTGGGCCAGCATGATCTACAAAAAAACAGGGATGAATCCAAGTCCAAGACTCAAGCCTGCAAACTTGTAAAGTAAAATACTCAGGTGGTTCTGAATATGTGCAGATTACTTTTATGAATATTCCAACGACATTTTGTGTGGCACATCACCACCAAGTATTATCTGCTCAGTTTTAAAAGCCCCTTCATGAGGACTAAGGATAACAAAAGCCTTACTGTCTGGCCAACTTGATAGTATTTCATCTTCC